TCGCGTCGAGAACCTGAGAACCTGATCCTCTCCAGCGCCCCAGCCCGCCTGCTCGGCAGCGGCCCACCAGGCTGTGAAACCAGCGAAGATGGCACGACGGGCCGGGCCGGGTCGATGCAGCGAGCCGACGTCCACACGGCCGCAGGCGCACCAGCACCACAGGGAGACGCTTAGTCAACCCTTCGGGGTTCCCTCTGTGCGGTTTGCGAGCGTTGTAAGGTGGTACATTTCTGGTAGTTTTTAAAAAAGTAAATCTCCATTAGCAGTGCACCTTGCTTTGCTTGCTTTTCGCACGCTATCGGATATCTAATTGTAAACAGGTAGGCTCAAAACTACGTTTCCTTAACGAATACTGCAGGTCACTTGGTTTTTTTTTCAAAAGTGCTGTTTAGCAGTGTTCGCGCGATGCCCTATAGGGTCTGGTGGTCAGAATCGTAGTAAGGATTAGAGAGTATATTAAGTAGCAAAAACCACGCTAGGGGAATTGCATGAGGAGTTAATTGTCATAAATTCAAAATGGATTCCTGTCTTGATGCGCATTACTCTGGGCTGAAGGGAATGTGACCAGAGAAGGGACCCAACTGTCTGATTACCTCCGAATGAGTATATGCTTTGCCGAATCACACGCTGTATCCTCTTGGAGTGTTTGGTTTGGCATGTCCGATGTGCGATACCTGTGCGCCACGGGTTTTGTGCGCCATGGGTTTCAGTGCCAGCTGAAACGAAGTTAGCCCATCACCTTCAAAAGGAGAACTGGTATGGCTCCCTGTCGATTTCAGGGCTTACGTAATTGAGGAAAAAGAAATAAGGTATCAGTAGTTGAGCGCAGTCGTCTTCCCAAACCCTTTCCTGACGTCATCATCGCTTCGTGTTGTGGCCTCTCTGACAGGCGGAGCGAAGCATGTATATCTGGAGCATAAGTACAGCATAATATAATGCAATATAAGCTTAATAGCGTACTTATATATCAACATGAACTTAGAAACAATGCAAGACAAATACCATAACGATACACAAGCATGCATCAATAAATGGTACGGAAGCATGCAAGCATGACATCATAACAAATAAACTTACCTGCAAGTTAGTGACTTAACATCCATAGGGTCAAGCATAAGGAAGCGTAATCATTTTTTAGTAGGATTAGCATCGTAACATGAGATGCATCGTATATTTAATTTTGGACACGTCAAGGGTAGACCTCGCGTGACTCTCACCACGCATGACAAAAACCAAAGCATGGGCTCTTGTGCCAATCATTGTTTCGTTGCACGAGTTCTGTGGCTGACTTATGCAGCGTGATGACTTGATCTGATAAGGTCGTTGCCTCGAAGAAACTTTCAAGTCGTCAAGGACACCTTTTTATAATAATATAGCCACTTAACATATTGAGATGTACCTAATGAAAATGATGTAAAACGACACACAGGTGACACACCGAACCTGACGTATGTCGGTACACCGCCTGTTTTAATTTTTTGTTATAAAAGTTGAGAAAATTCCCATGGCAGGCTGGTGTGATCCAGCAGATATTTCAAGTTTGCAAGGCCCACGAAAGTCTCGTGACCTGAGCGCTTCCAACTTTCTTCTTTTTTGCCAGATAACATGGTTCAACAGGATATATCATAAAATACAAAGCATGTACTTCCTTTTATTCTTTTATTCTGTCATATACTTCGGAAGATATCTACACAAAAAACTGAAGCTAAGTTGAGCCGGTTGAACCTATCTGTCTTGGCGGAGGCTTAATCGTGTTCTAATACTACACCGAAAAGATGCTTCCAAATATGCTGAAGCCTGACCTGAGCGGACCAATGGTCACAGGTGGCTTACGTCAATTTTTGTTCTTTCTGTGGCACATTGTTTAAAACAGTCGATTTCTATCTATAAAAGCCCAATATTTTGATGCCGTACACTCTTGACTTCAGTTTAAAATGGAAATGAAATGCGATAGGTTACTAAATTTCCTACCTTTCAGAAACACGCGGTCTTCGGGTGAGCTTAAAACGTAAAACCTCTGCTTCGTGATATATAAGACTTAAACCATGAAATACAAATTTCAAAGCCTAAACCACCTGAAGAGCGAGTGCTCACAAAAATAAAGTCAATTTTGCGAAAGTTATTGTTCTCGAATTTGCGAGAGATGTCAGGGGTGAACCGTGTAGCAGTATTAAGATGCAGTTTCAGAGAGTGTCTGATATCAGTTAACACAATGTCCCTGTTGGCAAAGCTTTATGCAATCAGATCGTTCAAATGCCTTCCGCTTCTACAATATCAACCCACCCTTTGCTCTCTCCTCCCCGCTAAAAATTATAACAGCGAACGGCTGCCGGACGAACTGCCAGCCACGAGCCGGACTAGACGACGCCCGGTGGCTGGGGAACTGCAGTCCATGTCTGCTGCAGATCGACGGTCCGGCCAGAGGGCTGTGAGAGCCGGCTCATTTATACGGATCGGCGGTGGCTGCGGAACTGCAGTCCATGTCTGCCGCAGGTCGGCCGTCGGGCCAGAGGGCTGTGAGAGCCGGACCGTTTCTTCGGATCGGCTTACTGGTGTCGAGCACGCGGCTCGCGCCGCCGAGCCGACAGCCGGTCCCAAACTCGCGACCAAAGCCGTAGCCGCCCGGACAGCGTCCACCGCGCCGGCGCGCCGGATTATTGCGGGAACCTGTCGCTGGTGACCCAGCGAGTCCGGGCTGGTCGCAGCTTAGGCTCTCCAGCATGCCGAGACTACAGGGTTGGCGAAGCAACCTGGCTCCAAATCGGTGTTCATGGCGTTCTCCATATAAATATGGGTGCTGGTTGTAAACAAGTGTTTTGGGGGTTTAACACACATTTGATGGCGGCTAAATAGCCGTCTTTTCAGGCGTCACCGAATACTTAATCCAATACTTCCACGGGAGTTGTAGGACCGAGGCCCCCACGGCCCTTCCTCATACCTCTGCCTGTAGACTGTGAAGCATCCTACAAGAACAACGGGAAGAGTCGCGGCGTGCAAGAACTTAGCCGCACAAAATATACACACCTGGTTCATTGACCCCGCGCCAGCGGGCGAGCCTCATTGGGGGCGTTCCGATAAGACAAGGGCCCTATGGTCAGAGCCAGGAGTATCCGGTACAAATGGGCGCGGCGGCACGGCACACATCGACTGCACACCTAGACTGCGAACGTAGACTGCATACCTCGACTGCACACACCGACGCACACATTGACTGCGTACCTCGACTGGACATATTGGCTGTACACATGGACTGCACACATCGACTGCATTCCTCAATTGCACACATCGTCTGCATACGTCGACTGCACAAGTCGACTGCATACATCGACTGCATACATCGACTGCACACCTCGGCTGCATACATCGGCGGGTATTGAGAGGCCGACGATGAACCATAACATCCAGAGCAGTATTGTCAGCAGACCAGTCCTCCGACAATCAGGATGTGTCGGCATGGCACACAGCCAAGATGTTTCAGGATGACACGCAGTCAGGATGTGTCAGGATGACACACAGTCAGGATGTGTCGCGCCGATCATGCCACGCCCAGTCGCAGGCGATAACATTGAGGTGCGAGTGCCGTAAGGCGCTGAATGCCGTTAGCGAGGTTAGACCGCGAACTGCAGCTGGAAGAGTTGACCTGTTACCGGGTCATTCACACGGCAAGGATATTAGGCACACGCTGGTGCGTGGGCCGGCAACTGGGCTGCGAACGAATGCGGCAGGAAAGCGGCAATGGCGTAAATATTGGTTTGCTCGTCATAGTATACAGCGATTTTGGGTGTTAAGTAGTTGGTATCTTTCAGGATGTGGCGACTTTCACGTAGACAACAGCGAACAAGGCGCAGTATGAATGGACATCGATGCAAATGTGAGCGTAAGTTATTCCGGGTTTATTCCGTGCACTTAGCAGCATGATTTCAAAGCATAGTCTACCTGCAAAAATCCGCGAAATGTATAATCCATCGGGGTCAGTCTAGCAGCGACATTTCAAGGCGTTGTGTCGCAAAGCACGCGCCTCGGGACATTATCTTGCGTAAGTGGGCGGCTTGTAACAAGCGCGTGGCCCGTGATTGTGACACGTTGAATGACCATTTTGCTACAAGAGTCATAGCGCTTTAAGGGGGAGCTTTTCAGGGATTACAAGCCTTCGCCCGTTGCAGTTGTTTCCGGTGACGCAACTGCCAGTAGACAAACGCCCCACGTTCAAAAGCGACCGGCTTGAGCCGGCGTTCCTGTGGTCATTGCGTACCACGTAAACTTACGTACCAGTGCTGTCTATCGAGCGGTCACGATCGGGCGTATCCAGCGGTCACGATCGAGCAATCACCGATGCCTGTCGCTGTTCTGCTCCAACGCCGGATATGGCACGCTCCAAACTGTTGCGTCCAGCCCGACTCCGTTGTGCTCCCATGGTCCATCAGCGCACGCGCGGGCTGACCAGATCGTGCGTGAACGCACCGACCGGTCAGACGGGCTACTCCACTGACCCCAGCGCATTTTTCCTAACTGATCAAGTCACGCGGCTGCCGAGAGGGCGCGGCAGCGCCCCTACAGAACAAACGAGAAGCCAGAGACTTACCGCGTTTGAGCCAGTTCATGTAGAAGCTTGATCATAAGTGGCAGCTGTAAAACGACCGCGGGAGAAAGCCGCCGCATGTTTGGGTGAGCCGCGTAGAAAGTTAGGGAACGACGGTCCGCTATCTGTATTGGGGACGTATCGGGGACAGCAGCTGCAATGGCAGCGGCATCCCAGTTTGCAGCGCTGAGCCACCTTCCTCCAACGGCAAGCTCCTTCAGCATTTAGGCCCAGCTAGGAGTTCAGCTGAACTGAAGGCCCAGGTATGCCAATGTCAGGGGTCAATCGCCCGCAGTCAAGCCGTGAAATTGGCGTCGCAAGTCTGTGTGCCATTCAGTCTCGAAGAAAATTTATGGTTAGTTGCACAAAAATAATTGTGCGAGCAGTCCCTCAAGTCCAAACGCCAAGTTTCGGTCTGTTTTATATTTAACAACAGTGCCCTGTGCGAGAAGTAACCAGTGCACTATCCGGCTACGCTGGATGTGTGAACAGACAGCGGAGTCAAAGTCAGGCGGCTCGTCAGATGTGACCTGGCCGGCGGGCGGCTCAGAGAACGGCGGCTCGTCAGATGTGATCTGGCCAGCGGGCGGCTCAGAGTCAGGCGGCTCGTCAGATGTGACCTGGCCAGCGGGCGGCTCAGAGAGCGGTCCCGTTTGAGGAGAACTACACGTCCGACTTCGCAGGCTAACAACATTGTCGGCAGGCGGCCTGGAGGGGTCATGAGGTGGCTCCAGCATCGGTCGTGTTTCGCACATGCGTCACATGAAGGGATGTCGTCATTATCAGCGCGTCAGAGCATCTATGATGCAAGCATTAGTAATTGGCTCTGTCCGCGGGTCCTTGCAGGGATCGTGACAGCAGCAGCTTAGAGCTTGCATAAGTGAAAACATTTTGAAGCCGTTTTGCGTCCTCTCTCGTAGTCCAGGCCGTCTTGGTGACATGTAGACACGACGGAGCTATAAATGAATATTGCCAGCGTTTCTTCTTCCTATAAGAAATTTTGTGTTCTGTCCTGCAAAGTGCAACGCCCCTCCCATGACATAACACTTGTTGAGTGAACGCGTAATTATGTGTTATCCTTTCATCCGCAGCAGGAACAAATCCCTTATTCCCATGCTCCTGACGCATACACGCTATGCGGACATTACTGCTAGCTGTTTAACTGTGAAGCGAGCTTTCATAACCCCACCAGGAAGCAATGACGTCTTTTAAGGGATTGAACACAACGAAAAATCGCCGCCCGCATTTTTTCTAAGTGGAAGATTTCAGGTATGCGATCTAATATTTTGGCGAATGACAGCAAAGGGGGGGGGGACTAGCATACAGTTATGGATGCAAACTGATACATTCAACCAAAAAATCCAGAACACCAAGAGAATTATTGCCGTTTTTGCGTCATCCTTTCAGCCCGATAAGTCTGGACCAAAACGGTGACGTCATGACGGTACCATCAGGTGGCTCTCGCCTCCCATCGGACCCACATCAAGTGCACGTAACTATTACAGTGCAAAAAGAAATCATTGGCAAAAAGGAGGATAGCATGCATCACGAAAGCATGCGCCAGTTTTATGCATGTTTAGCCACACAAAGTATGGCCGTTTGCAGACAGGCGACTACTTAGCCTCGATACCCATTTTCCCAAGAATCAGACTTTGACAGCATCAACAAGCGACCAGCGCTTTGCCTCCATACCCCACCGCCCACGTTTATGCGTACCGCTGACACGTCCGCGTCGGTCACGGCACATCCCCGATGGGAGTGGCTACGCGCTGCTTAGTATAAACATAAGCGCACGCACTGTTTTTGTAGGGAGCGAGCCCGACCTGGATGGGCCCGAGGGAGACCGCATAAGGGACATCTATGGTGAGAATCGGCTGCAGCCTGTCATCTATGGTGAGAATCGGCTGCAGGCTCTCATGTATGGTGAGAATCGGCTGCAGGGTCTCATCTATGGTGAGAATCGGTTGCAGGGTCTTATCTATGGTGAAAATCGGCTGCAGGCTCTCATCTATGGCGGGAATCGACTCCAGTGTCTCATCTATGGTGAGAATCGACTGCAGGGTCTCATCTACGGTGAAAATCGGCTGCAGGCCCTCATCTATGGTGAGAATCGACTGCAGGGTCTCATCTATGGTGAAAATCGGCTGCAGGCTCTCATCTATGGTGAGAATCGACTGTAGGGTCTCATCTATGGTGAAAATCGACTGCAGGCTCTCATCTATGGTGAAAATCGGCTGCAGGCTCTCATCTATGGTGAGAATCGGCTGCAGGCTCTCATCATCTCCGTAGTGCCCTCGTTCGGGCTTCTTGTACACGGCTTGGTGTGTGGAGGTCGGCAGTGGGAAATTCGGCACGCTTCTGGCTCTCACCTCAAGTTTTCCCCGACGCCAGAGCATTGCAGAACCACTACGGTGGGAGAGCAGGCCCGCGCGGCTCCCTTGCGCGCCTCTGCGCAGGCCCTAGCCGTAGTAGAAGTTGGCCCTCTGCTGCCAGCTGGGCCTGGCAGCGCGGGCGCCATGACCAAGCGGCCGTTGAGGCCTCTGACCGAAGCTCAGCAGCTGCGTGTCGGCCGGGTTGCTGACGCTGAGCACGCCGCTGCTGACGTGCTGAGCCGGCCGCTGCAGAAGCGGATCGGGCGGCGGCAACTGTAGCCGCTGGAACATGCTGGTCGTACTGCTGACGGAGCTGCAAGGCACCTGCGTGTAGTCGAGGCAGAAGCCTCGGTTGCTGCCCTCCTGCTCCACGGTCGTCTCGTTGTCGTTGAAGCGCACGTACACGACGAAAGGTCGGCTGAATGCTGTGGAAGCAGAAGCATGTTAAATGGTCCGGCGTGGTCCGGTAAATTGCTTCTATCAATGGATGGCATGTCTCAAATCATTGAATGAAAGGTATCAGGCTGTTTTCGATCATCTTCCGAAGTATTCAAAATGATTTGGTTGCGTATGTGTCGAATCATTTTCACAACTGTCTGGAGAGCTCACATCAACATCTTCTATATTTGGTGATGTGTTGCACAGACGCGCCCAGACAACCCCGTCTCTCTCTTTTCTCTCTCTCTCCCTCTCTCTCTCTCTCTCTCTCTCTCTCTCTCTCTCTCTCTCTCTCTCTCTCTCTCTCTCCTCTCTCTCTCTCTCTCTCTCTCTCTCTCTCTCTCTCTCTCTCGGCCGCTGCTACTACTCGTTCTTCCGGCTAACGCCCCCCCCCCCCCCGCCCAACGCCCGGAGATCTTGCGCCGAGAGGGAGCGGGGAGCGAGGCTGAGACCGGAAACTTACTGACGCCGGGACCTACGCCGGAGGTGTCGCCGGACCACTCGGTGCCGCAGTGGCGGTCCTGAGGAGTACCCGTGAAGCCGTCCGGCGTCACAGTGGCGATCGTGAGGAAGTCGTCGGTACACGACGAGCCCTTGACGGCGCCGAGGCTCTCGCTGACAGTGAAGTTGTTCAGCGCGGAGCTGCCGGCACCCGCGGGACGGGGTGGCAGCGGGCGGCGGAGGCAGTGGGGCGGGCGGCGCCACGCTCAGCCACGTGCTGATCCTGGACTTGATATCAAAACGAGGCAAATAGGTTACAGTATTCCAGTTCAGAACCAGATATGTAGGCCTTTCAAGTACCTGGCAACGAGACAGGGTGTCATGTGTTTCCAGTGAAGAAGAGGATGAGAAAGCGCATTTAAATGCAAAGATGCCGTAGCATTGTCGGTCGGAGACGGCACTGCCTGCAGCGGGACCGGCATGGCAAAGAGGGCGGGGGCACTGCGCAGTCCGCAACTCTGTGAAGCCGATGACATGAACAAATGAGAGTTTTGAATAAGTCGGTAATGATATTCCCAGCTCCGCGATTGTTTGTTTGGTAGCTGTATGTCATTGCCCATGGCCGTTGCATGAGAACTGCACAGCACGCCTTGCAATCTGACTCCTCCTCTCCATGTTGTTGATGGTAGCAATGTGCACATGCCCCGCTGACCCAGTTGCGAACAGGTGCACATGTCACGCCCTGGCCTCACCTTGTACGTACATACATACATGCACACATGCGTACATACATACAGACAAATGCATACAACAAATACACACGCGCATGTATGCATACATATATACATGCATATAAACATGGATACACACATGCACACATACATACATACATGAATTCATATATGCATACATACACGCATTCGCTGTTAAGTTTCCTTCAGCTCTTGTCGCGGCAAAGGCCCTGGCCCTTTGTGTTCAGGTGATGAGCTTTGCCCCCTTGGAAAGCGGGTTGTTCAGAGAAAAACCATCAACTACCCGCCATGACCGGTAAACACACAAACATCGCATGTTGTTCAGGAATGTATAGAGGTTCATGTATGCTCATGCCCATGAAAGTTTAACAAAGTAACGTAGTTGCGTAGTTACTTGGTATTTGACTACGCATGGAGGACCAGTGCTATTTGTTGGAGGGACCAGTGCCATTTGTTGGAGGGACCAGTGCCATTTGTTGGAGGGACCAGTGCCATCCGTTGGAGGGACCAGTGCCATTTGTTGACTGATTTATCGACCCGTGGGGTCATACTAATACGGCTGTTGTCATACCGACTAAACCAGTGATAACTGCGCCATCTTTTTCCTGCAACATCTACCCGGTGTCCTCGTGGCGTGGGGCTGAAGCGCGGTGGGGAGTTGGTGCAAGTTTGCTGCGGAAGTTATAATCCGAGCCCGGCATTTCACCCCCTCTTATCGGCGAACTTGCTGACATATCGGTTTCCCTATGCTCTTGTGTCGAAGCGACAACACCTTTGCCTTTGTTGCGCCCAACTATTTTGCTCACGTGTCTCATATCGCGTCAGCGCTGCACCTATGGTCGGCTCCGCACAGTTTTGTGTGCGGGGTGGATCGCTGCATCTTGTGTCAACTTTCCGCACTGTACAATCCTCCACAATACTGACTACAGATGTGCGGAGGAGAGCAGACGGTGTCAGGGTCGAAGTCTGTGGGTGGAAATCAAATATGTAGCTGCGAAATGCATGCATTGTCCTTGAATGGTATACAATATTTCGATTATGACTTGGCTACGACAAAATCACCAGAGAAGTGGTGCTGGAGATGCCAGAGCCATTTAGATTATGATCTTCTTTGCGGCCAACTTGTTTTTGCTACGTGTTGTGTCGTACTCTTCCCAGTTCTCCGCTTCCGCTCTACACTTAAAAGGCATGTGTCTAGCAGCCGAATTTACTCAGGTTTCGACCCCGATAGGCCTCGTAGTCTTTCATCTCTAGATGGCAAAAACGTACGTACGATGGACCGAAAGAGAACCCAAAACAAGATCCTTGACGCTGCAGGACCTTTGGTGACAGATGGAACACCATCAGGAAAGCTGCCGATAGCTATGGTAATCATTTAAGTACACTGGCGTCGCTGCCACATAGACGGAGAGCACGCCCCTGAAGCTTCCGGATGCCGACCCGTACGTCAAATTATGTTGTGACGAGACGGCTGGCTAGACTTCTGCATGGCTGTTGTGTGAGCAATGCGTTGAGATCAATGACAATTTTAGTCTCTGATATGATTGACATCAGGAAATTTTGAGTGGAACCACGAGGACCAGGTGAGATCATGAGAGATTTAATTATCCTATCTGGTGCATATTGAGTGATGCATTCCTTTGTCATTTTGTAAAATGGGTTGCATGTCTGTGCTGTTTAAAAACACATAATCTCCATTCTTCATGCCAATTTTGAGTGGCTTTTCTTGTGGTGAGATGGAGAAACAGATAAGATGCGGAAAAGCTGGCAGCAAATCGACGCGCAAATGAGAAATAACCTGATTCGTCTTTTATGCCTAACGCAGAAGATGAGCTTTCAGTAGAACCTTCAACTGTAATGTGAGACGAAACGACTTGGGCTGACGTCTGGAGCCAGTGGAGGCTTGGGGAGCTTTTGGCCGTTTTTTGCAGTGAAGCACCCTTCGTTTTTTTTCTTCCCGAACACGACAATGGCGGCGACCATTGTCACAGTTTGCAAATCTGAGGTACACTTCCTCTTATCCTGGATGCTGCTACGAAGTTTTAATTTTAGTGTGCTGTCATAAAAAGTTCTTCGAAATATAGTTGCGTCCATAGAATGCTGTATAATACACATCTTCTACAGTTCGCAATGTTTTTTCTCAACACTGCAACATCCGCAACGGCTTCACGGAATACCTGGCTCTTTTTCACCTTTATGTTCAAGAAAATCAGGGAACATGCGGTAGTTAAGGGCACCACGAGAAAGGTTCCGGTACAACATTTGTGTGATATCCATTTCAAATGCCTCGCTATGAAACAAGGAATGTCATAACCATTTCAACGCTGATAATTTTAACAGTATGTGCACATATCCAAGTGTGCACCCACAATGCTTCGGATGGAAGTATCCTCAAGTATTCGGGGAGGGGGAGGGCATGGCAAAAGTCCCTCCCGAAGCGAAGTTCGGGAAACCGCTCGTCCATTGAGGGTACCCCTTATTGTCCGTGGGTGATGGTGTCAGAGACGACCTATGCTGCCACGGCTGCCACCTGGCGTAAACTGCGAGCGTACTCCAGCGCCACCTACCAGGCGTCATACTGGATGCCGCAGAAGCCGGCGTTGGTTCTCACGCAGATGGCGTACCGCTGCGAGGCCAGGTGAGGCCCGGCTTCGTTCGTGTCGAACGAGAACGACTTGATGGTGCCAGTCGAGTTGGTGTAGTACTGCAGGCATCCCGCGGGAGCTGCACGCCAAAAGGAGATAATACTCAGGATGTTCTACCATGGTGACATCTATCACACAGCACCACGCCTCATGTTGTGGATGTAAGATATAAAGTGCTATGGAATGAAACAACCTTTTAAGATGTCTGTAAGTCAAAGCAGCAACGATTGCGGACACAAAAACAGCACACGGCAATACTGACAGATTTCGTTAATCCGCGAAATATCACTAAAAGCGACCAGTGTCTGAATCGCTCTTTGGGAGGCCAACTAGGTCAATGATACCGACCTGGCCGCATAAGCATACCACGAAAGTAGATTCCGCAATCATCACTGCGAAACACTTTTTGAGCAGAGCTGTTTCAAGGCGTCAACACCGCATGATCATGAAAGCACCTCAAACGCACGGTGTCGTGCTAATACTCCAGGACCCGTCGGGTCACGAGCCCCAGCATCCTCACCCCTCGCCGGGTTGTCGCAAGCGATCTGTGAGACCCTCACTCTCCAATCCCTAGCGGTCGTCTCTGTGCCGGACGTGGTGGCCTGCAGCGTGAGCTGGCTCCCCGACCCTGGGCTGACGTCCACGTACACTGCAACAGGCGCAATGCGTCATCGGCCCCGATGCGGCACGCACGAGAGACGAGTCAACCGAGTCAACCGAGTCAACACGAGCTCACGGAAGCCATTGTCTCCCTGCCTGTACATATTCCTTTGCACTCGTCTGGAAGCCTCCTCTACGTACATCTGCATATGTCCTGGCGGTCTGCCAATCTTTAATGCGTTTTGCCGACTCCGAAATTCTTCGGTCTAAGTGCACACACGCCGCATGCTCATCCGTATGGACAGTGCGAGTCAAATTGTGTTTGTTTCTGTCCCCCGGATAATCACCTTCACATGTAGTCGGATGTGAGTGACTGTGGAGCTCAGAACAATGGGAAAATGGCGAGGTTCCGGTTCGTAGCTCCTTACAGACAAAGCCAAAACTCGACGCATGGGGTACCCTTCTGTCCATGCCCGGCAGGGAGCCAATCAGGCAGCTCTTTTTCACTGTCTTGTGTCAGGACCCGCCCTGCCGTGGAGAGTGGATCTCCAGCGTTCCCTCCCGGGCGCCTGTTCGTGCAGCCACGGTCAGGGGCGGTCACGTGACCCCCTGCCCCGCAGAGGTCTCAGGAGCGTCACGGTTTTCGGCGCGAGAGCCTCCCGCGATGGCAAGATTGCTGGACAACAATGGGCCGCCCTCCCACCGCTGTCTCGGTCCGCTAGCGGCCCGGTAACGACCCGGAAGCGGTCAGCCCGCGGGGCTCGACCCACATCAGCGCCAGGGCGATGGTAGCCAGGGACTTAAGAGGAAACAGACCGCATTGCCCGACTTTGAAAAGACGTAGACACGGGTTAGGCGCATTGCGGTGCGAAAGGCTTATGCTACAGGTTTTAACGAGTTCATGACGGAAGTAGCTGAATTGAGCGCAACGCCGTGATTGAGATTCTCGTACAATGCCGAACATTTTTAGACGCCCTCAGGTTTTTCGTAATGAGTGGCGAAGACAAATGGTCCGGAACAAACAAGGCCGTAGTCTTCCTATGACAGATCCACTTCAGTGCGTGGCAGTTCGGGTATCAAACTCAAACCCTGTTTGTTGCCAGCCACATTTCACGACTTCACATTCGCATCTGTACCTGAAGCGGGCGTAGGAAATTTTTACTTTCCTATTCGTTTAGGGCCACATTTAACGTGGGAGGGGGACCGGGTCAGAATGATACATGAGATCGCACGACTTTGTGGCATGCGAGGATGCAAATACGTAATGCACCTTGATCGGTGTGTGGCAGGGCATTTAGTGCTCAGTGCGCGCGTCCTTCCGCAGTGAAGGCGCGGCCAGGATTTTCTTAAGGGGGAGGGGATACTCCTATTGCCAATTCTTATACACCACATTATTCACGCGCCAAATCTACACTTAAAACCTCATGTTAGTCACAATAACCGTTACGTCTACCGCAAAAACTCACGCAGGCATTGTTTATATACGAGATCTCTTCTATCACAAGGACTTAACCGCGATATCAGTGTTACACGAAAAAACATTACTTCCTGAAACACTTTTACAGTCTTTACGTACACGCAGCCTTAGTTCTACTGCTGACACTCAGCGGTTGAGTGCAAACTGCGTGGACAGCTGGCGGTAATTTAGGGAAAATTTGCAGGTTAAGAGGGAGCCCCTGATGGTAATATGGTAATTAAAAGGTTGTGGTGACCATACAAAAAATCGGCTTCTTGCTGCACTGCTTTATTTTTCGATTAATCGTGTAATTAATTTTGATGTAATCAAAACTTGTAATCTGGCATTAAAATTCCAACGTCAGGGATAACTTTTGAAGTATTAGCTTTGTGGTGTAGCACTGGGGCGTCATATGACTCATTGCAGTAGAAGTGATGTCGCATTGAAGTGGGTGCCAGGTCAGGATTGTATTTTCGTATCCAGTTGGGGATCCCACTCATCTCCTCATCTGTAGTAGTTGTGTGTATAGGTGTAGGTATAGGTATAGGTGTATAGGTGTGTGTTTGGGGGTGTGTGTGGGGGGGGGTGTTTGTGTGTGTGTGTGTGGGTGTGTAATAGGTGGTAAAGGTGTGTCCCATTCGCAACAAACGGTGGGGTGTCCGTATTTGGGGGAGGTTTTTAGTTGTTTTCCCCTACTCTGCCACCAAACTTGTATTCATTTCCTTTTCTGTGTTGACGTATCGCACTAATATCAAGCGTAACTCGTGGTAGAACTAATAGTGCTTATGAATTAGAATCGTACAAGTCTTCTCTAAAGAAGCAGTGACGGTTCTTTGCTTTGGCAGTATAACTTTTACCGCGTAGCATTCATGTCGTGTATTAATTTTGTGGTGGAAGTAATGCTGAGTATAACTGAAGACCGTACAAGTCTTTGCTGCTGAAGTAATGACAGGTATATGTTTTTGAAGTAGATATTTTGCCGTGGGCTCTCGTGTGGTGCATGAATCTGTAGTGGAAGCAATGCTTCGACTAAGCAAAGTCTGTCGAAGTTTTTTCGGTTGAAGTAATGTCGCGTAGGACTAATGCCACATCCCTGCTGTCAGTGGGGATTTTATCGTAGCACTATGTCATCACACCGGGCGTTTAGTGTTTAGTGCATGCATCCTTCTTACGCAGGGGTGCATCCAAGATTTTCTTCAGGAGGGGTGGGGGGGGGGGGGCGGAGGGCAGAGCTCGGTGAGTTCATGTCACGTCAATTTTTTGCGTTTTGATGGGAATATGCATGGTGAAAAGCGAAAGAAATCAGGAACAAGAGGGAGGGGTCGTTATCATTTGGGTAATTTCATACTGTTTAGCGTATTCTCATCAAGACAGTGCAGTGCTATTAGTTAACCACGGTGAGCTCGGTAACTAGAGGACCAACACCTAACACTGAAAGAAACACACACACACACGTAAGCAATGGGAATGCAACTATACGAATACTTTTGAGCTAACACAATATCGTCGCACCAAATATTCACGATGCAACATAGCACTAGCCTGGGAGCATCAAAATAACATCATAACCCTATAAAAACCAAGTTTAACGCTCATCCTTGACGCCGGCAGCTGCGCCACGGCGGCCCGCGCACGAGCGGGTTATGTGCAGCTACTGACTGTGCTGGCCTCCGTTGACGCCACAGATGACGGGCGGCTGAGAGGACGCGGCGCCGATCACCGTGAACTGGTCCTGACGACATACGCCGTTAGCGTCCGGTGAGGCCAGGCTCAGCTGGTCAAAGTCGAGCCGCATCTGGCAGATATTCTCGTTGATCTTGCTCACGGTCAGCCTGAGGGAAACAAACCCCACGGTCTCTCATGATCTAAAATCGGACTGGGCCGACTGGTATGGCAGGCCGGATGAACAAAGCAATTCACGAGGAAGTCGATATCCGGCGTAACCTGTCGCGGTGTGGTCAGGTGACGCGACGCGGTGCTGAGGAGACGAACCTTTTCGCTCGATGAGTGCTCACGACGTACTGTATTGTCAATCGACAGTACGTGAGGAGCCTGTTAGCGATTCGTGACCCACTAAACCGTCAGTGAACGGGGTGTGAGAGTGGAGTGACAAATTTTGAAAGAAACGTTCCACCGTCTATGCAGCCTCGAAGTGGTAAGCTGTTTTCCGATCATGTGATGATTCCTCTGTCATTTGAAAGCAGCATTTGTTCATGGACTCGTAGAACAGGTGAGCTTCGCCACATACTAAACGATCTGATCTCGAGCATGTTCTGTTCGTCCACGACTGAAGCTGTTATGCTGACATTATTGGCAACCGTGACGAAATAAAGCAAATGATGAGAATATACTGTTATGTGCCGTGCACTTTTAGCCAGCGGTAACGAGAAGATCTCACACAAGTGACACTAGCAGGAATTGTGCAAAAAATAAATCGGGTAAATCATGGATCCTGAATAATACTGCATACCAAAAACGAAAAGAATCGTTTTTTCCCGCACTACAACGTCGTTGAATCAGTTTATATATTGAAGGTCGTCAACTCATCATGAAAACTTAAACTAATAATACCGAGGGTATGCATTCATCTCCCATTCCCCTTCTCTTAGAGCATTCAAACTGTAGCTTGTGAATTTACCTTGTCCTGACATAAATCAATAAACCAAACTTCAATCCTAAGCGACAATAACTGCCCTCCACTTTTGTTGCCTTTGCGTCTTCCCCTAAAGTTACAGGCAAAAAACTCTCTTAAACAAGATGTCAACGTCAAACTCTCTTAAACAAGATAAAAAACCCAAAACAAGATGTCAACGCTCCAAAAATGAACTGCGATAACATGGCTGCTCTGTGTGAGCATAATACTTTACTCTTTATTTCACCTTCTTACATACTTCCTCACTTTATTATACTTACCTCTATTTACTCTTACGTGAAACCTTAGAAAGCTTTCAGCAATTCTGAAGGGGAATATCGTTAGCCAATCATTAAGGCACTCATGAGACGTAACTTTAACGACGTTTCAACAAATGTTCAAAGAGGCGTGACAATCGATTTAGCTGACGATGCTTGATGGCAAAAGTTCCAACTATTATTTATGGTGAACGCAGAAAGCCACATCACTAAAATGTATTCCTACTTACTAGCTCTGAACTTTAGCCGTAGAGCCAGATGAAGCGTGAATAGCAGCTCTTTGGCTTGTGAGGAGTATCGCGAGTGCGTGAGATAGACCAATATTCACGGCCTGTTCTGAGACATTCCAAACATACTTGATCCCAGAAATGTGGACCGGGGCGGGGGGCGGAACCTTGTTCAGAAGGAGTTCTACACAGGGGCATAGTTTCGCAAAATGAGCTGGGGGTGGGGTGGGGTTGGCTGAACAGTGAAAATGGCTCAACCCACCCCCAAAATCTGCCAACAAACAGGTTTTTCCCCGATTTGCTCCATTTTCTTCTAAGGTTGTAGGAGGGTGGTAAAGCCGCCCCCCCCCCGCCCCCCACTGAAAAGGAAACTACACCCCTGGCTCCACATCTCGACGTCCTCAGATCGAGATGTAGAGCAGCTTACCCAAGACCTCCACCATTGTACTTACGTCAGAGGTGTCACTTTCTAGAATCGGTGGAAGGAGAGCTGAACCGGTATGATTTACCTAACCTACCCCTAAAACTTCAGTTCTTCCGGATTCCCAACACTTTCCCGCTAGCAAAAAATTGACTCATTAAAACACGATGACAAAAGGCAAAAGGATGAGGGCAAACCAAATGAGGCCTGCTCACAGGGGTAGGGAAGGGGGGGGTCCTAAGCATTGTCGTATTCAAGGGAGAAGAACACCGAGGGCACGTGCCCTCTTATCAAAATGTCATATTCATCATGTCCAATTCGATATATTCGGCAATCAAAATATTCAGAATGGGCTCCTTCTGATTATCTAGCAAACGGTCCCGCTATCTTTAAACATGGCCAAGTTTTCCCGAAAAGGGCCTCCTGATGCATAGAGGAGAATTCTAGTCAGAACAAGATGCCTCCGATGCACAAAGAAGGCCTCCAAATCTGGCCAAGGGGCCTCGTTATCCCAAAACAGGGCATCCTCATTCCGAGCCGGGGCCATCTGATGCGTAGAAGGAGCCTCTTGTTCCAGAGACGTGACCTTCTGAATACAGAAAGAGTCGCCTAGGCCAGAATAGGGGCCTCTTAATTGGTAACGTGGGCCTTCCGAGCCTGCGGAGGGGCCTCCTTAAGGTAAAAATGGATATTCTTATCTAGAGAACGGACTACCTTATTCATAAAAGCGGTCTCATGAAACAGGCAACGGGCATGTCAATTTTGAAAAGGCTCTTCCTAGCCCCATTTATTGTTCTCTGTCTCGGTTAAAGGGACCTCCTTAATCTGAATTTTGGTAACGTATGGTTACGTACAATGGCTTAGCTTGGGAAAAGGGCTTCCAAAAATGTTGAAAGGGCAAAAACATACCCTTGCCTCCCCTGCCTGCCGAGAGAGGGGTCAGCTACCTCTCTGCCCCCCCCCCCCTTGCTGCATCGCCCCTGTATCGGCCGGTGCCACTCAGTTTCCAAATCATGTCCGTCCATTGGACAAAAACCTCAGTGTCCAACTAATGCGCGCGTGAAAACGGCTATTCAGTATTTGTCAGATACTATGCGGTAAAAAAAGAACGGGAAAACTTGTAGTAGTACGTTCAGATACCTGGATATCAACACTTAGGGAAATCGTCCGCGGGAGCAATGGGACGGGAGGGGAAGGCCGAGATCACCATTGGGAGAAGGTTCGGTCGCCCCGAAAGCCGATAAAGCGACGCCCCGACTTAAGTATAAGGACCGTAGACCCGTACCGCGAATTCAGCGCCTGCACTAAACGCTAACGCCATTGTTGCCAGATGACTAGCGTAGTAAACCGCTTTTTTGATGTTGTTTATTTCAGCTGCACCTTATTATGTATTTCAGGTCGATAATTTTCCAGAAGTCTACCGCGTGAACTGGCCTTTCTTGCGCACCTGGCCCAGCTGACATTCAAGGTTGGGGCCGGCCGAGAAGCTGACGGCGAGCTGTTCAGAAGACTGCGCGCTGCTTGTAAGCGCAAGCGCCATTGCACAAAACACACGCGCGCAAGCGAAAGCCGTCACTTCCTTTCATGCGCAACGAACTATATTGGGGAAGTCCGAACCGCTCTGAACCGCTGTTAACTGAGCGCGTCGAGGCTGACATTCCGGCATGAAATTCGACGGCGGCGACGTGGCTTTAGTTTAGCGGCGTGGTCGCCGCTAGACCAAAGCCACGCGGTGCGGCAAAGCGTGGCGTGACGTCACTAGCCTGTCGCGGGTCGACAGCGCCGGAGCGCCGGGCGGCGGATGAAAGTGGCCGCGTTTGCGCAGCGTGTCGCCTGCCCTGTGTGCGTGACGACCTGGAAGGATTGCAGCGCAGGTCGCGCGCCGTGACGCACGCACGCTGAGCGAAACACGTCCGGGTGACGCAAGCGGCGCAGGCGGCGCGCGACGCAGCGCGGCCGGGGGCACGGCGGTCGCTGGTTTGCCGCGGGCGTGCTGCGCGGCGTAGGATTGTCGCCTCAGTGAGGGAGTGAACAGCACACCAGTTTACGTCCTCTTGAAACAAGCGGCGGATGCGGTGTGTTTGAGGCCCGTCACCACGTGGGTTCGATTCCCACTTACGGTGTCGTATTTTCGTAAAAGGTGGCGAGACCACGGACGCTTGCGGCAGAACTTTGCAGAATTATTTCAGAACTCGCACCATCTGCATAGCGGGGTTTTGTTTAGGCAAGAGGCTATGCTTGTCACGATTTTTATACCAACGCCGCCCAAGCAAGTAATGCACGTGACCAGGTTTCTTTCTAAAATTAAAGTTTCTCGGGCTTAAAAGACCAAATGAGTTGCTTCGCAAAGTAATTGTTGCATTTCACACATCGTGAAAAGGGCAATTGCTGCGGTGCTTGACGTGATGGGTTGCGTGGGCAAGTGCAAATGCTTGACGTGATGGGTTGCGTAGAAGGAATTAGCAGCTAAAATTATATTGCGCACACGCACGATCGAAATCAGGTTGGCCAAATTTAACTCCGTAGAGATATCATGTTTGGAAAACAACGTAAGAACGTCGTAGCTTGGTAACGATGCGCCATTCCAGCCACCGCCCCCACCCTCACTTCCCCACACTCCTCTGGCAACTACTCACGATTTGGTTTTCACTCTCCTGCTCTGTCAGAGCTCTGTCAGAAATCCACATTATAGCTAGGGGCGGTTACTGCCCTGTCAGGGGTCACGTCTCTAGGCAGTGCGCCGCTCTCCACAGCTGGCCACCGCAACCCCACAGCGACGTACCTGCAGTTGAAGGGCGACGTCAGGTTCCCCGGGCCGCGGAAGACGGTGTTGTTGCGGCTGATCGCCTCGCCGCAGCCGGCGGAGACTGTGGGCACCACCACCAATCACACTACGGCAACGGCGGTCCGTGCAAGTCGTCCACCAATCAGCGGCATGACATGGTCGATGTCACGGCTGATTGGCCAATGGCGAGTTGTGTACATTGCGGTTCGCTTTCTTGCTCTCGAAGGCGAGCTGGGTGCACTGGTTAAGTCAACTTTCTCTCATGGTTTATTGCGCCTTGAGCCGAGTTCGTGAATGATGGACAGAGAAACCTACGGTAGTCAGAACCGGATTGCGAACACGTTCTGTTCGAAACATTTCAAAACGTGAGCATGGAGCTTGCATATTCTATTTGCCGATGACAATGGATTCATCAAATCAGGGGCTATTCTCACATTCGTCAAAATGTGCATGAGTGCATATGACATGGTGGCGGATAGGCTACGCTGAGATAAGGGCGGAATAGAAGGATGGAAGAAGGCTGTCGAAAGGGCCGTACTCTTTGGTTCGATTGGGGAGGAGAAGAGAGGAGGGGGGGGGGGGGGGGCAAAACCAATGGATCGTCACCAAAACATTCAGGGCATATGCTAAGGAACTTTCACACGAGAAGCAAACCCTGTGACCTGGGGCGGGGGACTAACCAACGACTAAGATTACCCAATTTTAGGCAGCTGAGTAGTTTGTCTGTCGAATGCTATCGCGGTTCGGATTGTTTCAACTGTACACCAAAAACAGTTAAACCAAGCTCGCATATGAAACAGAACAATTGCTTCAAAGTTTCTGCATGTCAAGAGCGGACAAAATCCTTCACCTACACCTGACCTTTACGTCTAGCCTGGGTCATCAAGCTTGCTTCCCCAGCGGAAGCTCTTTGATTATGTTTTTTTTCAAAATTACACGACTAGAAAAAACATTTGACCGACAGGGTGGTATTCGCCCCCATAGTTTGTTTGCCACAGTAACCAGCAAACATCGATGCCTTAGCTTCTGAGACAAACTCGTGCAATGTATTGGCGTTAACGGAGTGATATCACCGTATTGGTTACAGCACAAGTAGTTACAAACAAATAGTACAGAATAGTCACTCCGAGCAGGTAGTAGACCAAAGTTCCTAATTTCACACTCCATTCTTTTTTTTGTGCGCACCATCTATTGACCAGCAAGCTTCATTTGTTATTGTTAAGGAAATTGGACTGGTGGTTTAAGCACACAAAGACGCTGCCGAAACGGCAAAATGCACTTTTGACGAACTTAATGTGGCCATTTAAACACCTTTCGCAGGAAAAAGTCCCACTCATCTGAGTATTCCATAGGTAGGGCATTTGCCTTTCCCGCCCCTGCTGCCGTCCCTAGGTAAAGCATCGCACAGAAAGGGCTTGGGAGAGGTATGACAGATGATATGTGCATCAGAGGCTCGTTAGTCACTGAAGCACAGAGCCAGACCCGTCAAGCGGCCAGGGCCTGGGATAAAGCCCTGTGGGAGCCGATGAAAATATGAAATAGAGATAGCACAGCACTGGTGGAGACGGCTTTCTGTGTTTCATTTCATTGGAGCCCGTTTCCTTGCGGTCTTTGAAACTGCTCGGTGTAACTTAAATGGAGTAACGTTACCTTCTTTCCAAGTTGGTTGCGTGGAATTAGGATTGCCTTTTGGTCGCTTATATTTGTGAATATCGCACATTAAGGGAAAACAAGCTGGATAATTTCACCTTCTGCACAGCATCAAAGTAAAACACGTTTCGTTCCGGGGAAGGTCAAGGTACGCTCGTGTATTTGCTTCCCTCCAGAAAAATATTCGTACATTAGTAATGTCGTGTCAAACGCGGAGACGTATGGCGGCAAATTCCGCTCATTAGTGTATCATCTGCATGCAACTAGTTCGACAGGTGCACCAGTGTCACTGTGGCTAAAGGGGAAGGGAAGTGTGCTCATCAAGCGTGGAGAAAAGAATAGCTGCCTTATGCAAGACGTACTAAAAGTAATAGAGCCATTTAACTGACTTACGACATTTTGTGGATTGTTCTGACAAAAAAGGACACAGGTATGGCCGTCATTGTACTTCCGTGCCATCTGGACTTTGGAAGTCCCATTCCAAGCTGCCAGGGGTTTTGCGGTCACGGATGCGCATTCGACTGAATATGCGCCTGCGGTCACGGACGGCACGTGCGGCCCGCGCCTCCAGTCAGTGTTCATCAGCGTAACCACAAGAAACAAGTGGCTGCACGCCCCCCCCCCCTCTCCTCCCCCATTTTTGGAGTGCTCAGTTTTAACCCTTAACTTTCGGCGTCGTGTGCGCGTTTTTCTCGTCCTTCGCGTTCAAAACACTCCTTCGGGTCGATTAGTGCCAACAGATCGTAACCTAATCTCCCCTCTTTCTCTCACGCCCGCCAAATCTGGGTGGTGACTACAGCTACGGCGGCGTGAGGTGGTCCCTGCGACGGTACTCACAGACACAGCAGACGCCGTAGCCCTCTGCGCACGAGCCCCGCGCGCTGCCACCGGCCTGCGAACACTCGTCGGGCAGGTAGCAGGTGCCGTTGGTGCCCTCTTCGTTGCTCACGCACTCCGTGTTCGGAAATCGAATCACCTGAAACACGTTGAAAACTGGCCGCCGAACGGCCGCCGTAAACCGAGTCAGGTATGGGATGGACTGTGACAGTTCCTTTTCATCTCACTGACCGTCGCCCTAACCCTCCTCTGTCCAGTAATTTAGTCACGTTCACCAACCAGCCGTACTGCACCTCTAGCATATGTATATCACTGGAAAAGAATCTGCCGCGGGCCATCCCAACAGCAGTATACTCACATCTCGCCTTCTTCGCTGCTGCGGTGTAGTTCTGTTCGACCTCGGTCGTGGGCAGATTTGGCAAGCGAGAGCGCGCGCGCCGGTCGGCCGCTGTCGACGGCTGGGCCGGAGAAGCCGCGGCCGTGCTGCCCCACGCTGTCCCGGGTCCCGCCGCCGCCGCTGCCGCCAGACACGCGGCGGCCGCCGCCGCCGCCAGCACCGCCGCCGCCCTGGTCGTCATAGGGAAGGCGATCTGAGCGGGGAGGCGACTGGTGCTGCTGGTCGGCCCCCACAGAGGGTAGTGAGGTGCACGCATGGGCCGACCCGGCCCACTTTCGGTAAATGGTGCTGCAGATGAAAGGCGCCGTCACGCTTTTCGGTCGAGTCGGCGCGCGGCGCGTGCTCGTCCACTTCCTCAAGGGGCGGAGTCAGACGCGACGCTTGAGGACCGCCTGTGACGCAGCAGCGGGCCGTGAAAGAGGAGGCGAGCACGCGAGATGGAAAAGCATGTCTTCTTTTGCTAGTCTCGCGCATGAAATTAAATTGTACTACATTTTTTCTCCATTCCTTGAAACTCAAGCGGCTGTTTTCAGGTTTCTACCGCGCGGCGCATCATGGTAAACCGTGGATACGCGGCAGCTTGCGTTGATGGCGACTTGGGGTGAGGTGCAGGCGTACGAAAACGTGACAAGCCGTGACATAATACCGCTCATCACGTAATTCGAATGCATGGAGCTGGCGCACTAGAAAGTGGTATCTCCTGCAGGTGGGGCGGAACCCGAAGCGTCACACAAAACAAGATTAGAAAGGTTCACACCCTGTGCTCTCTATTGAAACTAATGCGGCCGGCCTATGACACTGCATGCCACGAATTCGCTGGAGACCATGATTATAGCCCCAGAGGGAGACGATCATACCTGACCCTACCGCGTATTTTGCCTCCCAGCTTAGCGCACGTGTTCCATGTGCATTTGGGCTGTGGGGGGACGGGGGAGTGGATTTGATTAGAACTCCAAGACCGTCATATCTCACATGCAACACTATCCTAGGTTACTGTAGCTGACGAAGTGTATGTAGAGGCGGCAGCCTCGTCGAGCTGAACACCATTCCTTGTGTTGAGCGAGCATCCCGTCACCCGCTGCCGCTGCGGTGTTGATCGCGTTTTATTTCCCGACTGGGGCCTTTAGCAACGCGATTGGCTATCTCCAGAGCCGATCATCTGACTGAGATAACTCAAGCCGCCTCGGAGGTGCTTGCACTGAATGGTCGCAGGGCAGGCCGTTTACTTGTGAGGGCACTATTTCACTGTAGTCAGATCAGCGCAGTCATGTGGCAATGATACTGTTGTCCGAGCCCGCAATGTTTTTACCTAGGTTAGTTGAATGACGACACTGGCCGTGCCGGGCGTGTATTCGAGCCGGTTGCATGCAGGTGTTGTAGCCCGTTGGGCAATCGCCTGCTGAAACTCTCCTATAAGCCAGCTAGGTAAGTAACCTGTAAGAAGGAGAGCTGGCAGCGCCAACAACAACTGGTCAGCATAGAAGTGCAACAGTGGGAGCCGAGACGTTGCATAAAGCTTGTGCACCGAGTTAACAATGTTCCCACGGCCCCAAAAGATGCATTTCCGGGCAAGCGTTCTGCTTCGACAAGTTCCCACTGAACCAACATATGGTTGGCTTAAACAAACTGCCTGCAAAATCCTGTGGCCTTCCGGCGGTATGATAATGCGGTGGTCCCGGCAGATCCCGGAGGTTTGAGCCAACATAGGTCTGGCTTGAACGGCTGTGCAACGTAATTGGGCTGAGGTCAGCAATTTTGCTGGGAGAAACCAAAACTTATGACTTTGGGCCAATGTTCCGAAATCCGAAGTTATACCATCGTACGAGCATGCCAGGATAGATTGCTTCTAGTCATTCACCGCCAGTTGCGCGGAGTGCTTCTCCAGCTTGGTGTGTAGCTGCTTCGCTCTTTCTGCTGACCACCGAGGCATGCATGCCGCGCATACCTACAGCCCTCCCTACAATGTCACACGTGGACTGCATCTACATAATTTAGACGTGAAGCACAGAAGCACGTCAGTTTTGCTTTTGCAAAAGCCGAAACCCGTTCGCAATGGAGTACTGCGAAAATTCTCCAGAATGCCGCGATAATTTACTTCTCAACATATTTCTTCGGGACAGCTTTGTTTCCATGGCGCACTGGAATCAGCCAGTCTTACCACAATCTAGAGCCCATTTCCAATGGTAATAGATCAGCTTCTTTTCATATAAACGGTCTTCAGGACATCGTCGCAGCTGCGTCTGGTATGTCGCGCTACTTGCACTGCGGGATGATAGTAAAATTAAAAAGATCGTGCTATGCTGCTGTGAGGCCTCTAAGTCACTGGTGAGATATCGCCGCTATCGTTGTTATGCCATTGAAGTCTCCAGTGCTTGGAGGCGTCCGCATGCTGAAAAACAATTTAACGAACAACAATTGTTACTTAAAACTCCTATTACAGGCTATGAAACTTCCTGCAGCTGAATGTTGGTAACAAATTACATAACCATGAACGGGCTCGATGGCTAGACCACGCTTGGAACTCGGCTGAATGGTGCGTCCGTCTGGCTTCGCCGACATCCATTAAATTGAGCCTTCCTTCGTCACGCGCCTGGGTTTCCTCAAGCCAAAAAATAGATGATTGGAGAAAAAATAATAATTTCTCCGTATGAGTACTCCCTAAAAACTCAGCTGTCGAACTTCGCACATAGTCCAAACTCCAAATGAGTACTAAGTGTGTGAAAATATCGGTGTTGAAGGATCTTCAAAATTGCGTAGCTCTTCGGCCATTGTCTCCCATTATGCTGTAAAATGTTCAGATGTGTTGACAAGCATTTTGATGCGTCGTAACGCAAAAGAAGCCTTGCTGATTGTGAAGTCTTCTTCGTCTGCTACAATATATGGTATGCAATCAACCATGTCAAGGGTGTAGCTTAAGCTGCAGATTGTAAGCCTAGTGCAAATGGGAGACTCCAGATCGCTGCCGGACAAAACACTCGCCTCGGATTTTCAATGCAAGATATGAATCTAAGTAAAAAACAAATTTGCAAAGTTCAAAATACCCGGGAATATACCCTGGTATGATTCAGGTCATACCACGTCTGCGGATATTGACCTAATGAACTAAAATTTGTGAACTGTAGAGAGCTCGTGAAGCCCACAAATATGATTGCCAATAAACCCAAAATGAAATGCGATATTTTGGTAGTAAAATCGGACACACTTCGCAATGTCTTTGCACCGAGTGCCAGCCCGCCTCCTCTCCAGCTACCGCTCCGCGCACACGCTGCACCAGTGCAGCAAGTCTTCCTACAGCATGAGCAAAAACAGATACGTGGTCTGATTTCGAGCTCGTCACCCGTCCATTTCACCCTCCGAGGTCAGAAAAAGTAACGGGGTGGGCAACGTGCGTGAAGCGGCCCCGGTGCGAGCCGCCAGCCGTCGCGCCCCTCCCGTTAGGAGCCGACCATTTCACTGCGTATGCACTGAGGCGGGGGAAGGGGGGGGGGGGCTGGTCACTTTCGCTGAGGTCACAAGTGCGCTGGAAGTTGCGGCCGCCGGGAATATTTTCCGTGTCTGTCACACATGTTTGTGATGTATCTATGGTGAGGATGCGTTTCACCAATCCTTTTTCTAGTTTTGTTCACTTGCTTACAGTCTTTCCGTAAAAAGAGGGTTGTGGTTTGAAGTGCATGCTGTGTACACCATAGCTTATACCGGCAAATTGTGTACCATGATTGTTAAACATTTCAGGAGCCTGTAATGACGAAAAAGCTATCAGCAGCAGATATATGATGGCCAAAGTTGTTGCAACTAGCAGCAAATGGTGGGCATATCGCTTCAGATAGTGACAAGTGGTCCGGAAATACTGACACCGGCTAAGCAAGCCATCGAGGTACAGAACATTGTGGTACTGGCCGATAATGCAGGTCACCATAACGTATCACATTTGTGACTGCATTACGTGTCCGGCTACATTGCAATCGGTGAAAACAATACTTTGCGGTGACTTGGTATTTCACACGAGTTCTGTTGCTGTACACTTTTGTTGTATGTCTGGCATTATTTACCACAAATAGACAGGCATTCGTGACAGCTGCTGTATGGCAGGCAAGCAACTGTCAGTGCTCCCGGCAAACGGCTTTCGTGATCGCGTATACCTGAGGGCGAAATCAAGCTCCCCGAAGCTTCAGCCAGCCCATTTCGACAGCGAACTAGTTGTCACCAGATGTACGGGTTTTCAGTCGTTCTCGCCGGACTCCCAGGCTGGCGTTAGTAATAAAGGATCAGTTGTGCGCTTTCACATGTAATTTTCCTGCTTTGCTGGTGGCTTTCCCTCCCGCGCTTGCACCAACCGATAGCGGATTCTTACGACACCTGATAGCGGACACGGCTGACACCCACGCTACGACACGGGCTGGTGCGCTTTATTTACTTATTTGTCAGATTATTGAACATAACACGCGCTCGGGTGGCCGGCGGAATGTGACGCTCCAGGTGTGGGCCAAGTTGACTCCCGTCTGAGAGCCCAGAAAGCAGGATAGCTAGCTACGTCAGATTCACGGGCTGAGTAGGGTGTCATGTGAGCTCGTTTGTTTGGGGTTTTAGCCTGCAGGTCCTGACCGACGGGTCATCTGCGGCCAAACAAGGACAATATCTGAATCAGTGTTGGAGGCGTCCCATAGCTCCTCGCGCGACCAATTGCATAAAGTCAAAATGACAACAAAACGTAAGATCATTTGCACATTTTAAATTGAACTCATTGTCAAGAGCTACCCTAGGCGACATATTCTGCGGCTCAAAAGGCTGATCAAAACTATTTTTAGTCTAGAGATCTCCCCGGCCTTGACAAAAAAGCACAACAATCTGTTGATGTATTTGTGATGAAGGAATGCGAAATTAGCTTCAAACGCTGCGCTACTGAATATTATTTTTATTCAACAGCAATTTGATCGTAACCTCGATCTTGCCTTCATACCTCTCTACAGGCCAATGAAATTACTTGTAATCATAATTCAAATAGTAAAGGGTCCAAGAAACTCCCTCAAAATAGATAGCCTTGCTTCAAACTATGACGCCGCAATAAGCGACGTTTAAAGATATATATCATGCTCCGCATCACAAAATTGCCGATGCAATTG